CCGTCCCTTCCGCGCGCGCCCCACCCCTCCTCAGTCGCCCCGCCCCCTGCCCTCGTCGCGTCCCCCTGCTCCCGTGCACGCGCGTGGGACAGCGGTGTACCGCCAGGCCGCCGCCTCCCTTCGCCTCTTTTCGGTCAGGGACTGCCCACTAGCCTTCCGTCCTCTCGTTCCGGGAAGACCACGCCTAGCCCGAGGCCTTGACCCTTGGAGGCGCGCGGAGCTTTGCCAGTGCTCATGCGCAGCCCTTGCGGTCTGTAGTTCCCCGCACTCCTTCCGGGTAGTTGCAGCCTGAGGCACTGCCGGGCCCTCGGGGCCCTCGGGGCCCTCGCCTTGCGCCGCCCGGCTCGCGGACGCGGGAGCCTGGAAAAGCGGTGTTGGGGCGGCTTGGGGATTACGGGAGGAAGGAATGAGGAAGCTCCCAGGAGAGCCAGGCCATTTCCTTTATGCAGAGCGTGGTGAGCGCGGGGTAGGCTCGAGTCAAACCGGGACACGTGGAGCGCTCGTTTTCGGGGCAACTTGGCCCGGGGCGTATGGGCCCCTTGGAGGGGGTCGTGACGTTTCTGGGTTGGAGGTGGTCTCCAGAACAGCGTTCTGTAACCTCTTTTGAGCGTCCGTTGTTACCAGTAAACAATTTGAGTCCACCATTCAAATGGTTATTTAAATATCTTTAAACAATTGTTTTAGTTTATTTTTTACTGCAATGAATTGTTTTTTAAAATTGAAGTACAATTACAGTGTGTCAATCTCTGATGTACTGCACAGTGTCCCAGTCATGCATATACATAAGTATATTCATTTTCATACTTTAAATATATTAGTAATAGATTATGTACATTATGAAAACACAAAAGGGAAAAGATAATGAAAAGATGAAATAAGCAGTCAAACGCTTACTGTTAATTATAACAACTAAACTAATTATCAATTATAAGGCATAATGGGTATTTGTAAAGACCTATGTACTTGAATGTTGCCTTATAAACAACTTTGAGGACTAATTTATATACCATGAAATTCACCCATTTTAAGTGAACGACGATTTTTAGTAAATCTGTCCAGTTTTTAGGCCTCATTTTTAAAAACTTTAGATTATTACTTAGTGATTCATAAAATTTTAGGTTTGATTCTGAGTATGTCAGTGCTTTAACTACATCATCAATGGAAAAATAACCCCAGGAGAATGTGGATCCAAATGGAAGAAGGAAGCTCTTGGTTGCACGTGCTGAATCATACATAAAAAGCCTTTCCAACAACTCTTTGACTTACGGTTTTCATTGTAATTTTTATTTCCTACTGTCCAAAAGTTGTCTTCCAAACTAGTTGGAATATGTTATATTTTTATATTTAGAACAGTGGGCCCAAAACATTTCGTGGACTGAAATATTTCATTCAGAATATGTCTTAAGTATTTTTTCCCCCACTTTCTTAGGTGGGCAACTAGAGGTTTTTTAGGTGCATATAGCATTTTTGGCAACAAAAATCAAATTCAAATAGAAATACTTCCAAATATACAATTCCAAAAGAATTGTATATAGTTTATACCTGTATAGTGTCTTTTGATTTTCATTTGCTCACAATAAAAGCAATTTTGAGAGATATAATGCTTTGTTTTGTTTTTCAACATTGTTACTGTCAACTGAAATAAAATCACACAATGTGAGAGTTGTGGGTTAAATTTTATCGGGGGCAAAATGATGACTATAGCCCGGGAGAGAGCAACCCAGAAAGCTCTGAGAAACTGTACCAAGGAGGCAGGGGGAAAGCTCAGTATGATATATAATTTCAGTGAAGGGGGGACATGCAGCCAAGCACACGTTCAGGCAGAGGCTGCTGCTAGTCACGAGGAGCAGACGTCACCGTTAATGATCCTAGTGCTTTTCTAGATACGAGGAGACACGAGAACTGGGATCATAAAATCTTCTCCTGAAAATACCTATCTGAAGGCCTGTTCAGCCAGTCTTCCCAGAGCACAGAGCGCCTCATTCCTGACCTCCATCCCGAACTCCTTTCAGGGTGTGTTGGTCAGTGGTTGCAACGGCTCATGATTTAATTTAAGCAGAGTTAGATGGCAAGTGTCAATTTTTAATTAGCACTACATCACTTGCTAATGTTATCCACTTGTTAAAGAGAAGGTCAGTAAGCATCTTTTGAGAAAATACACAATTCGTTTTTAAGTTGACAGTATTTGCATGGCACAGAGGACTTTCATGGCCTTTCCCATCTTAATACAATAATTGTAAAGATTAGATTGTATTTTAATAAAATTGAATTGAATTTTAAAAATTTAATTGTGACGCCCTGTAGCACTTTATGCACTCATTTTCAACCTACATGCTGTAATAGTGTGTGTATGGATGAAGCATGAATTACTTTCCTGTGTGGTGCTAGCTCTGTCCCTTAACCCAGAATCCCCTTCCATTCAAGTCATAATGATCCAGAGATTACACTTACAGTTTTTCCCTAAAGCGTTCTTTTTTAAACTTTTTATTTCAAAATAATTTCAAACTTACAGAAAAGTTGCAAAAATGTTAAGAGAACCCTTGCATACTCTTTGCCCAGATTCACCAAATTAATAATATTTTGCCATATTTTTATCTCTGTGCATACACACACACACACATATACAGACTTCTTTTTCCCCGAACTACTATAGCTGTCTTTAATCTGGAGCAGTTTTGTGGCCTTGGTCTTTCACAACACCAACTTTTTTTTTAATAGGCCAATTATTTTATAGAATGCTTCTCAATTTGGGCTTGTCTGATGTTTCCTCATGATTAGAATCAGATTATGCATTCCTGTCTGGAATACTGCATAAATAGTGTTGTGTTCTCTGCTATCCCATCTCAAGGCAAACAATGTTCCTCTGTCCCTCATTGGTGATGCTAGTTTTGAATGGATGGTCAAGATGTTATCCAATGTCTCCACTCAGTAGTTCCTATTTTCCCCTTGCAACTAACTAATCTGTGGCGAGATCCTGCAAATACCCAGCTCTTCATCAGACTTTTACATCTAGAATTAGCATCCATTGATCCCTGCCTGAACCAGTCTCCTATGATAGTATGAACCCTGCCTCTCCAAATGCAAATATTGGTCAGTATTGGTCAACATATTGTAGGAGAGAGCTTTCTCTTCTTTCTGTTTATTATCATTATGGATTAATAGCTTTCTTAATTTATTCAATTATTTATAGTTCATTAATAGCCTTATTTATTAAAAATGTATTAATAGACTTCACTTTTTAGAGCAGTTTTAGATTTATAGAAAAAAATTGGGCAGAAAGTATAGACAGTAGTTCCCATATATCTATCCCCTTTCGTCTCCCCATCAAGTTCCCCTATTGTTAATATCTTGCAATAGTATGGTATACTTGTTACAATGAATGACTTTCTGTTGATAAACATTGTGATTAACTGAAGTCCATAGTTTACATTAGGGATCTCTCTTTGTGTTGTGTAATTCTATAGGTTTTGCCAAATAGATAATGTTGTTTTTCTACCACTATTCAGCATCATGCAGAATGGTTTCACTGCTCTTAAAAATCCCCTATACTCCACCTGTACACCTTCTTTATTTTACTGAATGATTGATTGATTGAAGTATAGTCAGTTTACAATGTTGTGTCAACGTCTTGTGTAAGGCATAATGTTTCAGTCATACATAAGCATACGTATATTTGTTTTCATATTCTTTTTCCTTATAAGTTACTAGAAGATACACCCTCTTTTATTTTAATGCTCAAATTGTCCCAGTTTTGGCCAGTGGGAGCCATTTCAAGCTGGGGCCTCTTCCTTTGGATATATCCTGTATTTTTTCTTTTTTTTTTTTTAACCTTTAAGCACTTCTTTATCTTCAGGCATAAGATGTCTTAGGCTCATTTTATACTTTTCCTGCCCAGCCCTGAAATTAGCCATTTCTCCAATAGGACCAGGTTTCTTCCAGTGGGGAATAGTGCTTAAAAGCCAAAACTGGGACACTAAAATTTTCTGTTTTAATTAAAGATGTAAATTGATGTTGCATATGTATCTTGTCTCTTCCTTGGTGGTTAACAAAGAAAAGTAGTTCCTCCTGTATTTCACTTTTGAAGAGGGCTTGGTAGAAACAGCTGTGTCTCTGGCATATTGCTGCGTAAATACAGGGCAAACTTCCCACCCTGTGAAATTGAACTCTTGTTTCTTCAAAGCTTCAGCTGTATTTTCTCCATCCTCGGACAGTGGAATATGCTTTATCATCATAAAGCGGCAAAAAGAAGTGTTTCCTCATGACATGTTTTTTTTGTGTGTGTGTGATTGTTTTCATTAAGTAAGAACATCAAAAACAGCTTCTAAACATTGTCATCAAGTGTAGGGACATTTTAGAAAGAGCTGGAGTGGATAATTTTCATGTGACTTAAACACTCTTGCAAAAGTTTGCTTTCACAGTTTCCCCAATGTGATGGCCTCCTACTGTCATTAGTCTCCCAAGGCTCAATATAATTTAGGGGGAGATGAATAGTTAATGACAATGAGTGTAAAATCATTTCACAGCCTTCGTGATGATTTTCTTTCATCACTTTCTGACTTCTTGAAGGTTCTGATCAGATTGTCATTGTTTTTACATCATAACATGGTGCCAAAAAAAAAAGTTCATACTAGCAATAGGCCAAGAGTCAGTTCTGTTGTTTTTCACTTGTGCTAACAGTATTAAATTGTAAATACTGACAGGCATATGTAGAATAGATAAACAAGATTATACTGTATAACAGGGAAATATATACAAGATCTTGTGGTAGCTCACAGAGAAAAAAATGTGACAATGAATATATGTATGTTCATGTATAACTGAAAAATTGTGCTCTACACTGGAATTTGACACAACATTGTAAAATGACTATAACTCAATAAAAAAATGTTAAAGAAAAGAATTCAGTTAAGGACTAGAGAGCAGACAAATTTGGTTTTCTTGTAGCCACATTATAAAAGGAGGTATAAATAGG